CACACACTCCTTACATACTGAGTTTGGTATTGTAACCAAAGGCAGACCCAGTAACCATTCTCGCAATGGTCGAGTTTGGACAAGTCACGAAAATTAAGATGTCCAAACCGCAAGTGCCATAACCATTCTCGAGGCATTTTCTCTGCTAGCGAAACATTGATGCTTTACAAGCATTCATTACCACATGGAATGTCCTATTTTGGGACAGATTAGCTTTTATCACAAGCTTCCTATTTTGATCAAATATGCCTGAGACACCTATCCTCCATTGTCATCACAAAGCCCTTCGTAGAAGTTGACCAAGACTTAACAAGTTAGTCTTTAATCCTGGCACGTATAATACCTCCTCAATCATAACCTCTCTTCCATCATCACCCCAGTAACACAACCACCGCAGACCCTCTCGCATTAAGGCTCCTGTCATCGACAAATTTTATCCTCCCATGAGTTACTTCCTTTATTTTGACAAACCATTCTCTGTTGCCTGTCATGTGGGTTGAGCAACCTGAATCTAAGTACCACGATGCTTCTTCAGGTTTATCAACATCAATTCTGGTCATCAACATTACTGCTTCAGAATCTGACGTATCATCTTGTGCTAGGTTAGCATGATTCTTCTGTTTACTCTTTGCTCCATCACCTTTCCAACACTCTTTAGCAAAATGACCAAACTTCTGGCAGTTATAGCATCTAACCTTCTTCTTATCAAACTTCCACTCCTTTTCTCCATCAAGATTGGTGCAAGACTTGTGGTTGACAACATCAACTTCATTGCCTTTTTTCTGCTCTTGTGCATCTTTCTGTTTTGAACTACCTTTACCAGCGTGCTTCAGCCCCTTTCTTTTTCCTTTATACTGAGAACGTGCCTGCAAGACTTGTTCTTGACAGTGTCTTCTCTCATTCATTCTGTACTCATGAGCTTCCAGGGAGTGTTGTAATTCTTCCAACTCCATTGCTTCAAGATCGCGTGTTTCTTCGATTGCTACCACCACATGATCGAAACGTTGTGGCAGTGTTCTTAATATCTTGTCTACTACATACTGATCTGAGACACTGGCTTTGCATGAACGCATTGCATTGACATGCTCTTGCACCTTATCAAAATACTCAACCACAATTTCACTCTCATCCATGGTCAAGAGCTCAAATTGTCTCTGCAAGATTTGTAATCTCACCTTTTTATTTTTGTCTCCGTCACCATAGGTCTTCATCAGAATCTCCCAGATATCCTTAGCAGTGGCTGCTTTTGAGACTTTGTTAAAGATCTTTGAAGTAACGCATTGATAAATCAAGAAACGTGCTTTACTATCCAATTTCTGCTGAGCTTTCAACATTCTCTTTTCTTCATCAGTGGCCTTTTCTCCTAGTTCCATCACTCCTTCACTCACGATATCCGCAACATCTTGAAAACAAAAAATGGCTTGCATTTTGATACGCCAATCATCGAATAACTTGCCATCAAACATCGGCAGAGGTCCTTGTACCATTCCTCCCATACCAGCCATTCGCTTTTTGAATCTCGATCAAAACTTCAATGGGCTTTCACGCGTCTGCACCTCCTCAAAAATCTTGACCAAGTACCAACCAAGAATTCTCACTGCATGTCACTGCATGTTACTCTGTATGTCACTCACTCTCTCACACAACCCTTCGTAACTTCCTACCACACACTATATATCACTAGTGTATTGCTTTCCCGTGATCGAACCTTGCTCTTGATACCATAAAGGATATGAGAGAAGAGAGAAAGAAAACAAAAGAGATATATCTTTTATTGTTTATATGAAAGAGTAATACACTCTTTTATACAGGGTCGAACACGTGCATGAAATGAAAAAAAGCGAACGTAACTGTCATATCATAAACAGTTATTATATTTGACTTATTTACAAACACCAATATTTATATCAATTAGTTTATTACATTATTCTCTTTCTCTTATTTTTTCAGTTTTTCACATTTCCTTAATCTCTCAAATCAATTTATTTTTCTTTTCAACCAATTTCATGAACACAAAATTAATTTTTTTATTTTTATCTTTTTCTAAATATTTTACATAAATCTTAGTAGTAACTAATATTATTTTATTTATAATCTATATTTATTAGGTTTTATTATGTCATATTTTTTGGATCTTATTATTCTTATTTGTCATATATCAAATTTTATCTTAATAAAATAATTGTATTTTAAAGGATTAAAAATAATTGATAATTTAAACTTTGATTATATCAAACAAATTCAATAAGAATTAACTTATTAAATATTTATTTATAATTTTTTTATATTTTTAAATGACAACTTAAAAATGAATTAATTTATATATGTAATCAAATATTTGATTAATAATAATAATAATAATAATAATAATGTTATAAATATTCTATATATATAAATGATTAAATATTTCTTTTACATATATTTTTTAATATAAATATAATAAATTAAAATATATATTTAATTAATAATAATTACAAATTGTAAAATTATAAATATTTATTTATATATAAAAAATACATAGTAAAATTAATTTATTATAAATATAATTTTTTATTAAAATAATATAAATTGGGGATAAGCGGGGCGGAGAAACCCGAAACGCAGTAAGGATAGGGATGTAGACTTAATTTCTAACTACGACGGAGGATAGGAGGCGACGACGGGACAATTAATTAATTTCATCAAATTCATTCTCCAATCTATACAAACATGAAAGAAAATGAACTTATATTGTGTTATTCTTAAATGATTTTGGATTTACTTTTTTAATAAATTTATTTTCAATGTTTTTAAAAGAATTTATTATTTATTTATATTATTTTTAAAAGTTTTTATTAGAATAACTAAGAAGTCTTTTTCAATAACTTAATATATCACTTAATATTCTTCTCACCAGAAGTTACATTAAGTAAATATTATGTTAGGACATATTCAATAAAAAAAACACATCTAGATTATAAAATATAGATTTATTATATTATATCATATTTAAGTAATTAATATTTTTTAAAACTTAAAAAATTCATTATTTCGATATTTACTTATGTTTATTATTTTTGTAATTTTTTTAACGAAATTTGGTTTAAATTTCCACTTAGGTAAATATCCTTATTTTTTTATCACTTAATATAAATTTCCTTTTTTTTTATCTCATCACCATCTTTTGAGAAAATAAACCTTTGTGCCATTTTCTTTTATTTTGGGTTTATTAATCAAAGGAAGAAGCAAATTGAGAAGTCAACGAAGATGTTCATTTAAGTTTTTTATTACCAAATTAATTAAATATAGTGAGTTAAATATTAAATACTAAATTAATTAAATACAAATAGCTAAATATCAAATACTTATACATTTCAATAAATAATTATAATTATGAGATATTTATTCACTTTTAATAATTTTATTAGTTATTATTATTATTATTATTTATATATTTTAAATAATTATAATCTTTAAATAATATTTTTTGGATTAATTTTATACCTATAGAAATAAATACTTTTTTTATGAAATACCGAGGTAACTATTTTTCTATTTTTATTTCAACACTTTAATTTTAAATTATTCAAATCTATTTATATTTTATTAATTTCATAATATATATTTTAAAGTTTTTTATATATTTGAATTATTTATTTTAACCACACACTTTCATTATTAATATTATGTAATGTTAGAATTTGTGTATGATTCGACGATATCGTTGTTATGATTTGTTCCAAAGATTGTCTTGAAATAACAATATCACTAATTATTAACAAGTATCCCATGTTATGATTGAGTGGATTTGTATAACCTTTAAATTTGATTTAAAAATATTTGAATACAACAAATCCACCTTAAGATAATTAAATTTATGTTTTATTCTAAATTAATATCTTCGGGGAGAATTTATCTTCCTAATAAATTTATAACAAATATTATATAAAGTATAGTTACTAAGATATATTAATCTTTAAAATAGAGTATTTCACGATGAAGAAATTCTTCCTATCTTTGTTGAGTATATTTTTTTTATATGATTGACAGTCTTATTATTATTGAAAGTCTATCTATTTTTAATTTTCTTTAAAAAATTCAACACATTTTATAAATAAATACTCTCTTTAATAAAATTGAAATGAATCAGATTATTTATTATAGCTTTATTTATTTTTATATCTGTTTCATATAATATATTGTAAAATAGAGGGGTTTTCTAAAATATTTTCAATCCCTCTTATTTGTTACAGTTATATTTCTATTTTTCCAAGTTTGAAAAAATATTACTTAACTGTTTTTACACTAGTTAACTTTAAATGTTAACGAAACTGATTTTTAAGTAAATTGTAAAATAAAATAAGATAAAAAGTTTAATATTTAAATAGACAAATATATAAATATATTTGGTATAAACTTAAAAAAAATAAAAAAGAAATTCTGTAAAATTGATTTATACTAAACAAATTTTTATTTATATATAAATATTTTTAATTTATGACCATATATTTTTTTATTTACGAAAAGTTGTATAAAAAACCTCTCAAAACAGTTATTATTTTATTTTTATAAGATTTTATTCTTGGTATTATCATACTGAGATTTTATAAAACATTAAAATATCAGACACTTCTTTTTCTTCCGTTTCTTGATTTTGACATCAAAACCACGCGTGGAGCTTGCAGGCGTTCGGCTCACGAATATGTGTCGTTGGAAAAGACCGTTAGTCTCATAATGGCGTCGCTTCGTAAATTAAACCTACAACCAGGGGCAATCTCAGGTTCCTCTTTATCCAGAAACCAAATCCCTCTTTTTATAAAATAAAAATTGGTAAAGTAAGACACAGAACTCTCATTTTCTCCAAATCCCCATTTTAACCCCCAAACGTTTCCGCTTCCCCGCCTCTATATAAACACTGCCCCACCTCCCTTCTTCCTTCACGCTCATTTCATTTTCTTTTGCCATTTCTCTTTTCATCTCTCTCCTAGGGTTAGGGTTTTTCTCTTCATTGTTCGTACTCCATGGCTCAGCAAGACGTTCAAAATGGCGTGTCGGAAAATGTCGCTGCGGCGGTGTCGTTTCTCGCTGTTAAACCGCAGCTCTTTGTTGAAGCTCCCAAAGCCAACGACGCCGTTTTGTTCTACAAGACCGCGTTTGGCGCTGAAGAAGTTACCCGTGCGCTGAACCCTAAGCGCAAAGCGGATCACGAGCTTCCTCTCATACTCTCTGCTGAGCTCAGAATCGCTGGCTCCTCCATTCTCGTTGCTGACCTCGTTGATGACTCCGCTTCACCGTTAGTTTTCTGTCTATTTTCATGGTTATGGATTATATTTCATAGATCTATCATTATTAAGCATGCTTTTCCATTTTTCTCAGATTTTTGTTGTTATTCTGTTATTTGATGTCATATGTTTTTTGGTGTAATTATTAGTTCTATGGGTGTATCTAATTTGTTTTCATAATGGTCTATATTTTTTAAATTAATGTATACTGGCTATTCACTCGATCTGTGAAGAATAGTAATTATTTTTTTTCTTTTCAAAATTCGTGATTTCCTTTTTGTCTGTTTTGGTCTTCCATGGTTCTCGTTTTGTCCTATCCATTTTGTTTTCATAGTTCTAATTCCACGCTTTTGGTATTAGTTTTCTTTTGACTTTCCGTTATTTTGTAAACTATTTTTCACTAATATTTTATTATATTTTCAAAGACTGAACGGACTTTCGCTTCTTTGTCAGAGCGAAGGCTGGTGGAAACGGTGTCGTTTTGTGCTTGGAAACTGAAGACGTTGAAGGGGCCGTGGCGAAAGCTGTGAAGGCTGGGGCAGTTGCGGAGGGTGAAGTGGCGGAAGGTGAAGGCGCGTGTTGCGGTGGGCGCGTGGGGAAGGTTAAGGATCCTTATGGTTTTGTCTGGCTTTTTTGTTCTCCAGCGAAGGAATGTGTTGACGTGGAGGCTTAATTGGCGTTTAGATCAGTTGTTGTTTGTTGTTCTGACTGTTAGGATTTTCAGTTTGTTTTAGTTGTAGCAGTGACTAGGGGAAAGACCATCTCTTTAGACAAGACAGTGTTTCTGGAATTTAAGCGCATTACTATTATAAATTTTATGGTTGTTACTTTGTTTTGAGTAAATTTAAACGCTTCTATTATCCACTACTCAAGTTGACTCGCCAACAAAGTAATACTTCTTAAATGCTAGTTAATATTTTTTTTCTATTTTTTGTGATACTTATATTATTTTCTTTATGTGATAATTGCAGTGTATCTTGTATAAATAAATTTTAACTTTACGCCTTCTAAGTGACTTAAGAAGATTAGATTAATAGAAATTTATTAACTTAAGCGAAGCTGAACCTCTTTATTTTGACTGATTTATTTTAACTGATTTGTTATTGAAACTTGAGTTGATATAATTTTTAATAAAGTATAGTTAATATGTTTAATTACGCTGGTGTTAATATTAAATTTATATATAATTAATTATTTGTATGAAAGCAGAATGTCTGATATATGTCTAGAATATGATTGCTATTCTTTATTGTGTGTATTGTGTTTGTAGATATCTGGGCATATATATATTAGAATGTTTTTTTACGATAAGAAGATAAAAATGAGGACATTCTTGTATTTTTTAAAGAAGAAAATAAACATCTTTTCGAACAATTCGATGAGGTTCCAGTAGATAGGATTTATCCAAATTTTGTACATCTTGTATCCTTTTTGGGAGAAAATTCTTATCAACTTTCTTTTGTAACATATACTCGCAGCAGGGAAGTTTAATCCCTGTTGTCTCTTTGAAAGAGAGATATCTGAACCATTAGAGGATGAGAGTTAAACATCCAAATAGAAAAAACTTGCATTTGGTTGGATAATAAAAATTTACATTAGGTTGATAATCAGGTTAGACCTCATAACTTGATGTAACACTTTACCGTTGATATATCTTCTCCTATTTTGCTTTGCCTCCATCAAGAAATGAAAATTATTAATCCTAAGGTAAAAGGTCAAATTCAACGTCACTAGACATTCTTTTACTTTTTAGAAAAAAATAAATATTTTTACAAAATTGTAGAATTTAGATAAAAAAATTTATGTAATGAAAGAAAATATTGTCTGAAAATATTAACATTCTCAATGAGTTCTTTAGTGATTGGTTATTTCCTTTTTTTCTTTATTTGTTATGATGAGTTTCTCTATGATGGATTATTCCTCCTTTCTTTGTTTCTTTGGTTGTTATCATCATGCACTCTATCCCTAATAATAATAATAAATATACTAAAAATAAATAAATATTTATTTATTCTTAAATTAAATATTTTATAAAGTTACTTTTTTAATATTTTAAATATGTTCTTGTCTAAAAATTTAAGGATTGATTAAACAGTGTCGCCGTCAATCAATCAATCTTATAAATAAAATATTTTAAAATAAAAATGACTTAAATAAAATATTTTATTATTTAAGTAAATTTTTTAAAACTAATAGTCAAACTAAAAAAATATAAACTAATTATTTAAAATTATGTTAACAGTATATAATTTTATTTATTATGATAGTATAATAATTATATTTACATTGATGTAAATAATTAATTTAAAATTATTTTATCATAATAAATCAATTATTCATCTAGTTAAAAAATATCAAATATTTATAGGTTAATTATGTTTTCTATTTAATAATTTAATTTAGTTATAATTAATCAAAGGAAGTAATTTTTGTTAAAAGTTACTCTAAAATAAATATTTATTTTTTCCTTAATAATTATAATATAACAATAATATTTGTAATACCTCATATTTATCATATAATATTTTTTTAATATAATATATTAAATTATAGTATTTTTAAATAATTTAAATATTTTTTATTTTTCAAAAATGATAAAAGATCCATTTTATTAAATTTTAATATAATACTTTTAATTATAAGAATAATATGGAGTGAGAGTTAATCAAAGGAGGGGAAAAGAAATACCATACAATAACAGAGAAATAAACGAAGAGAGAGAAAAAGAAAAAAAAGATAAAAAATTGTATTATGTAAGATAAATTTATTTCACATTATTGAATTTTGTAAATGATAATAAACAAGTATAGTTGGATAAATAAACTTACAAATATTTGATTTTTTTTTTAAATATATTATTAATGGGATGATTATGAGTAAGCATCACAGTAGGGTAGCTGACGTATTTTGTTTCCCCCATGATGTGAAAATAAAATGTTTATGCATTCATACCTCAGTATATGTCATTTTCATACACTATTGTATTATTTGAATGATTTCATCATGTGTTATCTTTGTTTTTTATTATACATTAGATTTTTGTGTATTTCGTGTAAACAAGTGTGTTTAGGGTTGAAATCACAGCTTGAAGAGAGTTAGTATTATGAATGAAGAAAGCAAATAAGAGACTTGTGTGACGTATGATTTTTTTTAATAATATTACTGTGCAAGAAAATTTCGTAACGAAGTTTTCCTCATGCACAGTAAAAATTTTTCTTTTATATTTTCAAAGGGGACAGGAATGGTTACAACAAGAAATTCTTCCTCCCATATCATGTGTTCCTCATTCTTCCTCTTCTTTTGTCTAAATTTCAAGCAACGATACTCTACTCCTGCAGAATCTGGTGAAACAGGAGAGAGTTTGAATTAAGTGAGAAAACTTCGGTAGAAATACCACACCAGGTAAGGAGAAGTTTAATTCATTCAATATATGAAATTGAATTGTTGGGTACTCTATGAATAAGGAATAGGAGTAGAGATATGAATTATTTGAATGTCTCGATTTTGAATAATTTCTTATTCGATGAACTGTTCACCGTTTGAAAGTTTTTGAAATTCTTAAAATTAAGGATGAATTATATGGTAAAATTGTTATTTTCAACTTAAATTAGATATAATTCATGTTTAATTTGAATTTGGGACTAGTTTGGTTGTCTAAAATTAAGTAATTTGAAATCTGCCAAAATTTGTAAAATTTGTTATCATTATCGGCGCAAGAAAGAAGAAAGAGACATGGAAGGAATTTTTGAAAATGTTCAAGGGTAAAATAGTCATTTTACATCCTAGGCACATAAATGGAATTTTTGAAAATATCCAAGGGTAAAATAGTCATTTAGGGACATACATGGAATTTTTAGAAAAGATTAAGGGTAAAATAGTAATTTAATGATTTCGAAAATGATTTTGGAAATGATTTTGGAAACGATTTTGGAAATGATTTCAGAGAAGAAGAAGAAGATATATATATATATATATATATATATATATTTAAAATATAGAATGAATGTAACAACTTTAAAGATTCAATAGTATGTTAGTGACGTGTGTAGGTCGATCGAGTCTAAGGGCCGATGCCCATAATCGGTCATGAGATGTTATGTATTGGCTAGACTGAGCCAGAGGATTGGTGCCCAGAATCAGTCACGTACTATTATTTATTGACTTGAATGAGCCGTGAGGACATGTGGTCCAAAATCCGGCAAATATGAATGATTTTTGTTGTGTTTGAATGGTACCCGGGGTGATACAAAGTACATTAGTGTAATAACTATGTCGGAGGATTCTGAATGAGGTCTCAGACTTCACTGATTGGTCGGGTCGGGTAGACTACGAGATCAGGTGGTGAGAAGTCGATGGGGGATGACTGGTGGCGCGCTCGGAGGGGTACTCTAATATGAGTGATGAAGGGCACCAGTAATCCTACTCTGTGTGGAGGGTGGTCAGAATGGTACTGCGGGTACCGATCACAATGTGTCTACAGATGATAACCTCTGAGTTGGGGCATAGTTAGGGTATACTTCCGGAAGGTGTCTGAGTGTGTTGATGATTTCGTAATTGATCATAATATATAATTATTACTTATATCTCGTTTTATTATATCGAATGATTTAATACTTACCCCTATTTTTCCATGTCGATGGGACTTGCGATGATCACTTTTATGTGGGAGCAGATCAGGAGTTGAGAGATGGAGATGTGACTACTTGGACAACGAGGATAGTTCAGTGAGATAGTTTCAAGGGAGCTACTTTTACATGTATACTATATAAATAAATTATGTTACTATATTTTGAGGTTCTGTTAGTGGACCGAAATTTTAATCTATATTACAATTACAGTAATATAATGTAAGATAGATGTCGTTATTTACTTGTTTACTATTTTGCGAAGGCATAATTATAGTAGCGATATCTAGGGTCGTTACAACTTGCACGAGATGAGTGTGGATTTCTCCATAACTCGTGGATTTACTCCAATAATGAAAAAAGAAAACTAAAAAGTTTCAAAAGTGAGTTGCGGATTTCTCCGCACCTTATGGATTTACTCTAGGAGTGTCGGATTTAAACTAGAGAGTTTCACAAGTGAGTTGTGGATTTACTCTAGGATTACCAAATTTAAACTAGAGAGTTCCACAAGTGAGTTGTAGATTTCTTCATAACCTGTGGATTTTTCCATGAGTAGTTATTAACTTTTAATATTACATGGACTATGATTATCAAATAGGTGTAAGCACCCACTCAAGAGAAGTAACCACCCACTCAAGAGGGGAACCTATCAAAGAGAGGAGAGGGAGATTTGGAGACACACGGGGGGTTGGAGACGCACAAATGAATTTCTCCTTCTTCTAGTTTCTTTCGCTTTTACATTATGCAAAACTAATTTTCACTTTTTTCTAAAGAATTGATGTAATACTTTGGATTATAGTTTTTGAACCTTGTCAATTGATAATCAGTTAATATTAATTATCTCAGTTTTCTATTTATGATTTGAATGTTCATTCTATGAACAATTTCACAATTGGGAGATTGGGGATTGCTTGTGATTATAAATAAAAAAGATTAGGTTTTATCAAAATTAGGAAATTGGACATATTTAATTAGTTTGCAATTGAGACGATAATTACTCTTCATGATTCTATTGAATTTTGTACCTGACATAAGGGATTGAGGGCTA